CTCCCTCTTCTGCTTCTGGCTCACTGCCACCTCCAGCACCTGTCCCATGCTCCTGTGGCTCCAGCCGTCCTGAGCTCCTCTCTGCCTGCAAACCCCTGTTTCTTTGCTATTGCCTCACTCCCACTGCCTTTTCCCCTGATCTATGCCACTGCTATTGCCTTATCCCCACTGCCTCTTTCCCCGATTTCTGCAACTGCTACTGCCTTGCCCCTGCTGCATTTCTCCCCGCTCTCTGCCACAGCTATTGCCTCATCCCCACTGCCTTTTACCTGATCTCTACCGCTGCTATTCCCTTACCCCCACTGCCTTTTCCTCCAGTCTCTGCCACTGCTTTTCCCTTATCCCCACTGCCTTTTCCCCCAACCCCTGCCTCTGCTACTGTCTCATCCCCACTGCCTTTTCCCCCATCTCTGCCAATGCTATTGCCTCATCCCCACTGCCTTACTTCTCCGAACTCTACCACTCCGATTGCCTTATCCTTGCTGGCATTTCCACTGATCTCTGCAACTGCTATTGCCTTAGACCGAACTCTACCACTCCGATTGCCTTATCCTTGCTGGCATTTCCACTGATCTCTGCAACTGCTATTGCCTTAGACCCACTACTTTTTCCCCAATCTCTGCCACTGCTATTGCCTCATCTCCATTGCATTTTTTCCTGATCTCTGCCACTCTCTTTAGTTACCAAGCACCCCCAGCATAGGTACCGCAGGCACCAACACACACACACTGTCACTGGAGTTAGTGTTTCACCTGTGTGTATATGTGCATGTATGTTGTATTGTGCATGAGTTCGTCTCATTTTCATTAGGGTGTGTATGTGCCTATTTGATTCTCGTGTGTGTATATGTGCAATTGTGTCATACCCTACCATCTAAGACTGCAATTTTGAGATCCTGAGTGTTGGCCTGGCCCCACAGGACAATAGGATGCAGTACAACAACGACAAGTGCAGAGTGCTGCTCGTAGGGCGCAAAAATATCCAGCATACCTGCTTACTTGGAAGTAACCCTCAGCAGCACAGGAGCAGTAAGGGATCTCGGGGTCTTTGTGGACTCCAACATGAACATGAGTTGTCAGGGTGACAATATCATCAGCAAAGCTAACAGCACTTCACCATGCATCAGCACATGCATGACAAATAGATCCACGGACGTGATACTTCCCCTCTGTGCGGCATTGGTCACACGGCAGTTGGAGTACTGCAGCCAGTTTTGGGCGCCGTACTTCAAGAGGGATGTTGATAGACTTGAGACGGTCCAAAGGAGGGCCACTCGTATGGTTAGATGCTTACAAGACAAGTCCTATGAGGAGAGACTGAGGGACCTGGACCTCTTCAGCCTCTGCAAGAGAAGGCTGAGAGGTGATCTTGCAGCCACCTACAGATTCATTATGGGGACGCAGCAAGGGATCAGAGATGCTCTGTTCATCGGGGCGCCTCTTGGGGTAACAAGGAACAATGGTCACATACTGAATGAGAGTGGATTTCAGCTAGATATCAGGAAAAACTTCTTCATGGTGAGGGTGGCCAAACTTTGAAATGGGCTTCCAAGGGAGGCAATGCTCTCCTTAACCTTGGGGGTCTTTAAGAGAAGGCTGGATAGGCATCTGGCGGGGGTCATCTCACCCCAGTACTCCTTGCTGCCTAGGCAGGGGGTCAGACTCGATGATCTCTTGAGGTCCTGTCCGACCCTAGGACTATGAATCTATGAATCTACGTCCCTCCCCACCCTGCCTTCCCCGCTCGCCCACCCCGCCAGGCAGGCATGCACATCGCACAGCAGACCTGCTTGCAGCAGCTGCAGGTGGGGGGGATTTCTGTCGAAGGGAAGGTCCCATCTCCCCAACACAGGGCAGCTCTTTGCAAACAATACGCTGTCTCATGGGACACCCCAGCAACCACAATCAAGCACTGTCATTGCCAAGGGCCACCCACAAGTATATGTATTTATGCAGCAGCTCCATGTGAGGGAACGACTTCCCTGCCCACATGCAGGTCCATCCCCGGGAGCACGTGAGGGGGCCGAGCTGGAAAGGGATGTGACCCTGGCGGACGGAGGGGCCGGCCGTGGTGGAGCGCAGCGTGGCGCGTTGCCGAGTCACCGCTCGTATCATTGCGCCAGCGCCCGGGAGTTGCAGGCAGTTGCCATCAGCAGCTGGAGCGGTGCTGACGGCCGCCCCGCGTCTGAGCAGGGACAGGTGAGCGGCACATCGGGGACGCTGCCCCTCTACTGCCACCCCTGGTCAGACGCGCTCGCTGCTTAACTTGGGCAGGGGGGCAGGCGGGAGTGATGGTGTCCCCTTGCAAGCGGTGACCGATTGCTGGATGTGCTCCCAGAAGTGGCTG